GGTGAGTTTCAAGCCCCTAGGAATGCATTAATCGGGTTTTAATGCGTTTCTATGGGCTTTTTAATTTCGCTTTACGATGTTTTCGTTCTACAGCGATTTCGCTGGAAGGAATTAACATCGTAATGTGAGGCACCACTGTACAGAGGTATACAAAATATTGGAAACAAATGCAAATACTCGGTTCTGACATGAACAACAACAGCATCAGAACATCTCCCCTAAAGCAATTCCAGAATTTCTAGCAAACCATGCTCTAACTACAGAGGCTCATCCGCTTTTAGGGTCCTTTTTCTAATGCCCATTGCAGCAGTAAGAAATCTGGCAACCCTATGCGTAAGAATGGGATTGGAGTCAGACAGCAGCACATGCATGTATCGTTGCTCTGTACAACTGGGAAATCGGCCAATCAGAGGGGAAACAAGTTCTTCACGTACATCCTTGTAAAATGTGCACCACAACAGCATGTGTTCAATTGTTTCTATCTGCTCCATTCCACATGGGCAAAGGCGCTCTGCCCAGGGTATCTTTTTATACTGTTCCTCTACATTAAAATGTGGTTTGTTCAGCAGTACATATGGAGTAATCCTAAATATCATCAAGTATACATAAAAGTCACTCATTTTCAATGAGATTTGCATAGTTGCCTATACAGTGGTGCCCCGCTTGACGATTACCCCGCTCCACGACGAATCCGCTTTATGATGAGGTTTTTGCGATCACTATTGCGATTGCAAAACAATGTTTAAATGGGGAAAATCGCTTTACGACGATCGGTTCCCTGCTTCGGGAACCAATTTTTTGCTAAACAACGATTTTAAAACAGCTGATCAGCAGCTCTCAAAATGGCCGCCTGCTGTGCAAAATGGCTCCCCGCTGTGTTTAGGACGGATTCCTCACTTAGCAAGCACCGGAAAATGGCCGCCGTATGGAGGATCTTTGCTGCACGATGAGGTATTTCGCCCATTGGAACGCACTGAACCAGTTTTCAATGCATTTCAATGGGTTTTTTACTTTGGCTTGACGACAATTTCGTTCTACAGCGATTTTGCTGGAACACATTATCATCGTCAAGCGAGGCACCACTGTATACAGGATTACAGATAGTAATTTGCACTGGAGCTTCAAAACCTATACACTATTTGTGCATCCATTCTCCAAATGGAGATATGCAGCCAAAATGGCACCATACACTCCAGGTAACTTAACCAGAAGACTTGGTAGAACCTCGACATCTACAGATTACAAAAGATCTTCATGGAGAGACAGTAAAGTGTGGCAAAAAGCCCAATGAAGTCTAAGAAAACTTTGTGGCTATAGAATCCTGGATGATTGGGGGTTAAAATGTCGTGTTGTGGCAAAGGATGCAGTTGACTAATTGACACACCAAGTTTATATGCTGTTGTTTTGCTGTACATGGTTCTTGTTTCAATCTAAAATAAAAACAGAATCCAATCCTGATTGGTTGAAAAGATTTTCACTGCTAGTTACCCACTGTTCAGCTTCACTTTGCTTTAACAGTAAGTCCAACTTCTGTTGACAGTATTAGTATAAATTGTACAGCTAACTTAAGGAAAGCAAAAACTGTGGCATAAAACTGGACAGATTAAATCTACATGAAGAATTTTCCATTGTCAATACAATTTCAACAAATGCTATGCCTCAACTATCTTTTTATCTGTTTAATTTAATATATGTTAGGCACTTGAAGTAAGAGAATAAAGTGGTGCCTCGCTTTACGAGCGCTCCGTTTGACGACGAAATCGCATTATGTTGAAGATTTTGCAATCGCTAAATGATGTTCCCTATGGGTGAATTTTGCTTTGCGATGATCGGTTCCCTGCTTCAGGAACCAATCATCGCAAAGCGATGATTTTTGGCCAGCTGATCGGCGGTTTCAAAATGGCCGCCGGGTGAAAAACACGGCCGCCCGGTGTTTTCTGGCACGGATTCCTCGCTGCACGGGCAATGAAAATGGCCACGCTATGGACGATCTTCGCTGGACTGTGAGTTTTAAGCCCATAGGAACGCATTAATTGGGTTTTAATGCGTTTCAATGGGCTTATTAAAATCACATGCAAACGTTTTTGTTCGACAGCTATTTTTGCGGAACAAATTAACGTCGTCATGCAAGGCACCACTGTATCTAAGGACCTGATGAATTTTATCTCACTTGCTTGGCTGAGAAACTATTTTACAAAACGTATCTCAAATGGTACTGTCATGTCTCTTAAAATCCATGTTATAAAATGGCTGTCATGTTAAGAAGTGTTTCTACAGTAACAACTCCATTAAAGATGCCATCCTGCAAATGCACTTTTTAAAAAGTCCCAATTTACTGCAGAACTACTGGATATTCAAAGTGTTTTCTTCTGTTGGTAGTTCAGATATAAACTGTATTGCAAACAAATCTTGTGATGTGTTATTGGCATGCAATCTTGACATTAATTTTATACCAGATGTTAAGCACAGAGTTTCCTGCTACCGCCATCTGGAACGTACCATCACACTCACCCTATACTGTACCATGCTTATCACCTTCTGTCAAAGAATCATTACAACAATTGCAATGCAATTTAATCACTTCAAACTTTTCTCTTGAATTAGCTTCTTTACTATGAGGGCACCACACAAAGACTATTTAAAGTAACATCATCTAAACAACAGACATTCAAATGTCATTTTACACCCACCACCCACCCCACAGAGAACTGCACTCAATAGTCCATGCATGTCTATCTTCCACAAAGGCTAAGAATATGAGAAGCAAGTACAGCATCCATCTCAGTTATACAGTCAAGGACCGAAATTTATTTATTAACCCTCAGAAAGGACTTCTTGCTGGACTGAGGACCAGTGTGATGTCAAGAAGGGCTTTCAATGTCATTTTGGCCTCATACAAGAAAAGTACATTCTTTGCAGTTTTGACTGGAAACATCAAAACCACAAGTTGCAAGGAAGAAGCTGTTCCATAGAGAAGGCTCTCAATTATGATGTGGTCAACTTCAGCCTGACATACTTCTGAAAAATGTGTGTGAGAGAGTACTGCCTGAGAGAGAGAAAAAAGGGCCTCTGTGCAGTGCTTCAGTGCCACTTTGTAATTCTGCTCCCTGAGGGACTCACATGCTTGTTCACATGCCTTCTCTGGTCTTCTGTCTGCCATGATTCAACAACAGAAATCCTAATACAAATCAGGAGGGGTTTCAAATGCAGGTTCCCCGTAACATGTAAAGGGCATTTCAATACACACTCACATGATTAAGTATGACCACCTAACCCCATATAGCCAATTGTCCCTACATTCTTATATCTCTATGAGCTGTAGGCTGTTTTTATCTGAAAACACTGCTAGCTACACAAACCTCTGAAATGAGGCAAGTCCCACCTGTTCCCATTTTCAACACAACTATTAACATTACTTCTAAAGACATGCTCTTATTCAGGGAGAATTTTCTAAACCCAAGTTGTTCCAAACAAATCATATAATTTGATTTCAGTGACACACAATCAGATCCCAAACTCATTTTGAAATTTAGTCCCCTCTCCTGATTTTGGCACTTAGGAGACCTAAAGGTTTTCTCCCATGAGCACTTATTTCAATAATTTTACAGTTCAGATGTGGGAGAGTCTAGCAAAAGCTCTGACAAAATTTAAAAATGGGATAAACGAAGGAAGGCAGTTTGAATGGTAAACCAGAGTAAAATGGACTTCTAGCACCAGATGAAAATATTCAGGCCCAACAAAGCTCCACAATGCCAATGCATGGGCTAATCAGCCCATGAGTGAAAACATCAGCCTGTCTGGCTAGGTGACAGATAGTGGTTTTACTAACCAACACCAGGAAAACCTACCACTCCTGGACCAAGAATGTAAACATATTTTGGAAGCTGACAGCCAACTTCTAATATAATAATTGATTTGTCAATAAAGTAGACCCAGTTTACATCTGTGGTAATTAAGTTGCTCCCTTTGCATTTATTCCTTGTTCACTCCCACATGGGAGCTATAATGATACTGTATAACACTTTTATGATCAAAAATACATTATTTAGGGCTCTAAATCAATTTTGAAGGTTTAATTTATCTGACCAATGATTGGA